GAGACCAGCCTGGCTAACACGGTGAAACCCCGTCTCTACTAAAAATACAAAAAACTAGCCGGGCGAGGTGGTGGGCGCCTGTAGTCCCAGCTATTTGGGAGGCTGAGGCAGGAGAATGACGTAAACCTGGGAGGCAGAGCTTGTAGTGAGCTGAGATCCAGCCACTGCACTCCAGCCTGGGTGACAGAGCGAGACTCTGTCTCAAAAGAAAAAAAAAGAAAGAAAAAACAGCAGCAAACATATGAGGCTGTTGGGTGGTTTGAGGAGGAGAAAACGGGACCTGTCCAAATACGGAGGGAACGACCAAGCCACGTGGCCCACAGCAACGTGGATACTGAATGCAGCTACGAGCCATGGGCCAGGACCTGGAAGCAAAGGGCTTGAGCACCACGGGAAGGGGAGGTCTGCACCCCTCGTTATCACAGTCACATAAAAACCCCGGTGATGGCTGGGCATGCGGCTCACACCTGTAATCCCAGCACTTTGGGGGGCTGAGGCAGGCGGATCACTTGCGGTCAGGAGTTTGAGACCAGCCTGGCCAACATGGTGAAACACTGTTCTCTACTAAAAAAGTACACAAAATTAGCCAGGCGTGGTGGCGGGCACCTGTAGTCCCAGCTACTCGAGAGGCTGAGGGGGGAGAATTGCTTGAACCCAGGAGGCAGAGGTTGCAGCGAGCTGAGATCGTGCCACTGTATTCCAGCCTAGGTGACAGTGTGAGACTCTGTCTCAAAAAAACAAAAACAAAAAAAATCCTGTGACAGGACAGGACGGGCCGTCACCTGATGAAGCCTGTGGCATCTTCAAGGCCATGGGGGCGCAATTTCACCCGGGAAATGCACAGGGGTCCCCGGGTGGGGCGCCCAGGCTCACCAGCAGGGCTGCGCGGTTGTACACGCGCTCGAAGGCCGGGGCCAGCGGGATCTCCTCGATGCGGAAGGTGACGCCGGAGAAGCTGAGCTGGCGTGCGATGTACATGCCGCTGACCTTCATGTCCATGGCCACGATCTCCATGGCACCCACGCCCCTGCAGATGGACACAGCCCCCGTGAGCACGGCCAGAGCCATGGGGATGGAGCCGCCGGGGAGCGCGAGGCAGAGTGAGTCGCAGAGAGGGCAGGGTCAGCCAGAGCAGAGCCCCGGCGGCCACAGAGACAGCTGGCAGCCAGCCCTGGCGGGGGGGGACAGGAGGGGCTGCTGAGGGGCTGGCTTCCCTGGGAGCACTGGGCAGCCCTAGGCAGAGAAACGAGTGACACACATTTAGCACCTCTGGGTGCCAGGGAAGTGCATGTGGCAGTGCCAGGCCTTGGGCTGATGGTCCTGGGGCCTCCGCCCGAACCCCCACCGCCCCTCCACGTGGGCAGGAAGGGCACTCACCTCTTCTCGATGGCGTGCAGGAACTCCTCAAAGTTCCGGAAGGGGGTGCCCTCGCCCCAGATACCTAAGCGGCTCATGTAGATCATATTCCGAGGCTCAGAAGCACCTGTGGAGGGAAGCTGCCGTCAGCTCCCCAACCCAGGAGGGCCTAGGGGCCGGGTCAGGGGCCAACTAAGTAGGGACCGCCTGATGAGGGGCCCGCAGGGTTGGAACCATGGGCCTGGGGACAGCCAGCGTAGCCTTGGGACAGGCGCAGAGATGCCCCAGCGTCCGAGGAGGAGCAGGGTGCAGACGGAGGCTGAGCATGCGTCGGGGATACCCCTTCCCGGGGACAGCCAGACGGATGTTGCTGTGGGTGGGTCACATGGAATCCGCACTGCCTCACCTGTGGCGCTGGCATAGACCACGCGGGCCAGGGGCAGCTTATTCTGCAGGTCTAGCACGGCCTTGCCCATCTTGGTGGAGCCGGCGTTCTTGGCCTTGTGACACTCATCGAACACGATCTGGGGCACGCATGGGTTAAGGAGTGTTCTGGGTGACCCCAGGAGCCCGGGTCCTGACCACCCAAGACCCCACCTTCCTGGTGGGGGGCAAATGCCCATGCCGCTGAGAACTCCACAAGGGAAGCTGGTCGGAGTGACAGCCGGCTACCACGGGGGTTGGCGGGGGGGCGGCCCCCACACGACCACTAGATCGGTGTGGCCTGGGATGGCTTCTCCCAGACTCTAGATACCACGCACCGAGGACAGGGCCTCTGGCGAGGAAGGGTGGGCTCCATAAATTGCAGGATGTTGCCATCGGAGGAGGGTACCTGGAACCTGTTTTTTGTTTTTTTGAGGCAGGGTCTCGCTCTGTTACCCAGGCTGGAGTGCAGTGACACAATGTCAGTTCACTGCAAACTCTGCCTCTCGCATTCAAGTGATTCTCTTGCTTCCGCCTCCCAAGTTGCTGGGACTACAATGGGTACCACCACCAGAGCCAGCTAATTTTTGTAGTTTTGGTAGAGATGGGGTTGGCCGTTTGGTTGGCCAGACGGTCTTAAACTCCTGGCACCTCAAGTGACCTGCCCACCTCAGCCTCCCAAAGTGCTGGGATTACAGGTCTGAGCCACCGTGCCCGGCCCTAATTCTTTTTTTTTTTTTTTTTTTGAGACAAAGTCTCACTCTGTCACTAGGCTGGAGTGCAGTGGCGTGATCTCGGCTCACTGCAACCTCCGACTCCCTGGTTCAAGTAATTCTTCTCCCTCAGCCTCCCGAGTAGCTGGGATTACAGGCGTGCACCACCATGCCCAGCTAACTTTTTTTTTTTTTGAGATGGAGTCTCACTCTGTCACCCAAGCTGGGGTGCAGTAGCTCAGTCTTGGCTCACTGCAGCCTCCGCCTCCTGGGTTCAAGCGATTCTCCTGCCTCAGCCTCCTGACTAGCTGGGATTACAGGTGTGTGCCACCATGCCTGGGTAACTTTTGTATTTTCAGTAGAGATGGGGTTTCACCATATTGGCCGGGATGGACTAGAACTCTCGACCCTGTGATCCACCTGACTCGGCCTCCCACAGTGCTGGGATTACAGGCATGAACCACCACGCCCGGCCTCTCTGTTTTAATTCTTATTCTACAACTGAAATCATGGTGGCCCGTGTTAAAAAATGATGTTGGAGAACACTTATCCATTTTACAGAATAAAGTCCTGCCTGCTTAGAAAACAATTATGTATCTACTTAAACTAGAAGAAGATTAGGTGTGGTGGCTCATGTCTATAATCCCAGCACTTTGGGAGGCCGAGGAAGGAGGATGGCTTGAGCCCATGAGACCAGCCTGGGTAACATGGCCAAACCCCATCTCTACAAAAAATACAATAGTTAGGTGGCCATGGTGGCATGCACCTGTAATCCCAGCTGCTCAGAGGCTGAGGCAGGGGAAATCACTGAGCTCAGGAGGTTGAAGGTGCCGTGAGCCGAGATCGCGCCACCGCACTCCAGCCTGGGGAAAAATGAGACTCCGTGTCAAAAACAAACAAAAAAACTAGAAAACACTGAATTTTTTTTTTTTTTTTTTTTTTTTTTTTTTTTAATTTAGACGGAGTCTTGCTCTGTCGCCCAGGCTGGAGGGCAGTGGCGCAATCTCAGCTCAGTGCAAGCTCCGCCTCCTGGGTTCACGCCATTATCCTGCCTCAGCCTCCTGAGTAGCTGGGACTACAGGCGCTTGCCACAACGTCCGGCTAATTTTTTGTATTTTTAGTAGAAGCGGGGTTTCACCGTGTTTGTCAGGATGGTCTTGATCTCCCGACCTCATGATCTGCCCGCCTCCGCCTCCCAAAGTGTTGGGATTACAGGCCTGAGCCACCGCACCTGGCCCCTTAATTTTTTTTTTTTTTTTTTTAGACGAGACGCAGTCCTGCTCTGTCGCCCAGGCTGGAGTGCAGTGGCGCGATCTCGGCTCACTGCCACCTCCGCCTCTCGGGTTCAAGTGATTTTCCTGACTCAGCCTCCTGGGTTGGCCAGGGTAGTCTCAAACTCCTGACCTCGTGATTCACCCACCTTGGCTTCCCAAAGTGCTGGGATTACAAGGGTGAACTACCTGGCCTGGCCATATTCTTAATATTTTAAGACAAAAGAAAGCAAGTTCCAGGAAAGCAGGCTGAGGAAGGAAAACTGGGAGAATACAAATTAAACGGCTGGCCCTGCCGCCACGCCACAGCTCAGCGAGGGGTGATCTCAGTGTTATCGCTGTTTCGTAGATTGTTGCACGCAGATTGTTCAGCCGGGTGCTGAAGACACCAGCAGTCTCTGACTCCCACCCCTCCTCTCCCACTCCTCCATCCTCCCCTCCCCTGTGCCTCCCCCTGTGCTCTTCTCTCCTGACTCCCACCCCTCCTCTCCCACTCCTCCATCCTCCCCTCCCCTCCGACCCCCACCCTGCCCTCCTCTCCCCTGACTCCCACCCCTCCTCTCCCACTCCTCCATCCTCCCCTCCCCTGACCCCAACCCTGCCCTCCTCTCCCCTGACTCCCACCCCTCCTCTCCCACTCCACCATCCTCCCCTCCCCTCCGACCCCCATCTGGCCCTCCCCTCCCCTGACTGCCCCCAGCAGGATACGACGCCCTCGAAGGCCTCCCCACACCAGTCCAGGATCTGCCGGAGGCGTGTGCGGTGCTGGCCACCGGCCTGGCTCTCCCCAATCAGGGCGGAGTAGGTGGCGAAGAGGACGCCCTCTGAGGTAGTGGTGTCGCCGTACTTGATCTGGGGATGCACAAAGCAGGTGTGGGATGGGGCCCTAGCTCAGCAGGCTCTGGACCTGGGTCTGGGTCTCCCTATCTGTAGGAGGTGCTGAGCAGTGCCTGTCCCGGTTGCCGGCCCACCCAGTTGAGCGGCCCCCACCAACCCACCTTGCCCCCTACTTTGCCGAGCACAGCCCCTACCTTACTAAGCGCGTGCACCGCGATGCCCGTGGCTTCGATGTCCCGCAGGTCGCGCTCTGCGTCGTATTTGAGGTCGTTGGAGACGCTGAACCTGCAGGGTGTGGGCGTCAGGGGTGCCCACCCCTCCCCCTCACCCCTGCTCCCACCCCCTACCCCAGGCAGGATCTCACCACAATGCCTTCTTCCGGCCGCGCAGGTGGTTCTCCAGGATGACTCCGGCCACCGTCCGGCCTTTGCCCACGCCGGCCCCGTCGCCGATGAGAAAGCCGGCGCGCTGCCCACTGGGGAGCAGGACCTCGTGTTGCTGTGGCCGGAGGGCAGACGTCAGGGCCTGGGGGTGCCGGCCCGGCTCCTCCCCAGGGGCCTCGCAGACACAGGCTGGGCTGGGGTGGGGACACGCAGTCACCTGGCAGGCGTAGGTGATGGCCTCTAACTGCAGGGCAGACAGGGCCCCGCTGTCCGAGGGCAGGGCCAGGGTGTAGGTGATGTCTGGGGGCGGGACGCTGGACAGTGTGCTGGTCTCCACCACGCGGTCTGGGTGCTGCTTCCCAATCTTGGCTGGAGGGGCAGGGATGGACGCAAGCTTAATAAGGGTGTGGCCAAGGGGCGACCAGGGCCGGTTATGGCCGGCTGGGTGGGTCTGGGGCATGGCCAGAGCTGGCGGGGCAGTTTGGGGGCATGGCCAGGACTTGCTGGGCAGGTCAAGGGAATGGCCAGGAATGCCTGGGTGGAGGGGTGGTCAGGGTAGGCTGGGTCGGGGCGGCCACAGCCTGCTGGGTTGGTTGGGGGCATGGCCAGTGGCTTGCAGGAGGGGCAAATGTATGAAAATCCTCCCAGTGCCTCTGAGGTTCCTTCTCACTTCTCCCTGCTGTGAACCCCGGTTTTGTATAAGCCTGGATTGTAGAACCTGTCCCCAAGGTTCTCCGGCCCTCCCTGAAATTTCACATTCCCCCTGTGGGCTGTGCGGGCGGTGGTCACCTGCAGGGTTTCAGTCCCACAAAAGGGTTTGAACTTGTCCCAGGGCCTGGTGCCGCCGGGCCACTCACACTTAGACGGCACGTAGTCAGCGTAGGTCTCCGTGTGCCCCAGCTCCTCCGCCTCCTCCTCCTCAGCCTCGTCCTCCTCCTCTGGCTGGCTCTGCACACTCTGCTCCTGCGTGCGTGGAGGGAGCTCAGCAGACTGCAGGCCCGAGCGGCTGTGGGCACTGGGCTCCCCCAGGAGCAGGGGCCAGGCTGACCATGGGCAGCTGAGTGGGAGATGGCTCCCGGAGTGGGGAGATGGCTCTGTCTGCCCCTGTAGCAAGGTGCTCCCCAGGGCCTCTGTCTCCTCAGATGTCTCCTCTGCACTCCCAGATTCTAGGCTGGCCAAGGGCTCCCCACACTGGAGGTGCCTGTGCTGAGCCCCCTCCTTAGGTCCCATGAGAGGGCAGGGGAGGGAGCCCTCGGCTGGGCCCAGCTCACCTGGTAGCTGACGAGAAGCGGGGTGCTGTGGGAGGGCAGAAAGTCCTCGAAGCCTGCAAATGGTCGGCTGAGCTGGAACAGCTGGAAGGGGAGCAGGATGTTGGCCCGGGCCAGACGGGACAGGTCACAGCTGGCGGGCCCTCGCAGCCTGGCCACCAGAGGAGGCTCCCCACTGCCCCGTCCTCGCTCCCCAGGGCCCTGGGTCTTGCTCTCCTGCTGTTCTCAAGGTGACCCTGGTACCTCCAAGCCTCCCCAGTGGGCACCTCCCTGGGGCCTAAGGCTCACTCCTCCTGGCCAGCACCTGGCTGCCTTCCCACTGACGCCTGGTGCGCCTGCCTGGAGTGCCCGGGAGGAAGGTGCCCGGCTAGTTCTGACAGACAGCAGAGCTTGGTCCCGCGGGAGCTGGCGGGAAGGCTGTGCACGGGGGTCTGATGGGAGTGACCCATGTGGACGGGGATCTGACAGGAGTGACCCACTGTGTGCAGTGCAGGAGGCCCTCAGGTCTGAGGGACAAGGGGTTGGGAGCTCCATGTTGAGGGGGAAGAGGAGACAGAGGCAGTGGAGGTGGGCGGGCCTGGGCCTTGTCCCTCACCCGATGGCTCCCAGCACCCAGGGTGGGTAGCTCAGGGCGGTCCTGCACTCCCTAAGGACCCCCGCGGCCTCTGGAGGACAGCAGCTCCCCTGTGAGGGATGGGGGAGGATGCCCGCCATTGTAGTGACCAGAGGACACGTCCCATTGTGGCCCCCCCGGGGAGAACTGCCCACAGCCTCATGCAGATTCACCAGGATGGGCAGTTGGCACTGTCCTCGGGGAGCTGACCCCAGGCCTGGGCAGCCAGGTGTGCCGGGCCTCTGGATGAGTCCATGGCCCACCCTAGGATCTCCGAACTGACTGGGCATGTAAAGCCTGTGAACGGGCGGGTCAGAGGGTGGTGTGGCCTGTCAGGCCCGCTGTCCAGACCCCAACACTGAGACAGGGTGGACCCCAGGACGGATGGCTGGGGCATGGTAGGGTCCAAACTAGGGTCTGTGTGATTCTGGAATATACCCACTCTTAAAAAGCAAAAATCCTAACGGTAATATGAGCCATAAAAAACGTGAGTGTGGGCAGGGTAGAGTGGCTCATGCCTGTAAATCCCAGGACTTTGGGAGGCCAAGGCCTCCCAGAGTGGAGGTCAGGATTTCAAGACCAGCCTAGCCAACATGCTGATACCCTGTCTCTACTAAAGATAGCAAAAAAAAAAAAAAAAAAAGGCTCACGCGGTGGCTCACGCCTGTAATCCCAGCACCTTGGGAGGTCAAGGCGGTGGATCACGAGGTCAGGAGATCGAGACCATCCTGGCTAACATGTTGA